CCAGAACACACACCGATATCTTCATATGAACACATGTATATAATCTGAACCAGAACACACGTATAATTATGTCTATATCTATATCAGAACACACGTATAATTATGTCTATATCTATATCAGAACACACGTATAATTATGTCTATATCTATATCAGAACACACGAATAATTATTTCTATATCTATATCAGAACACACGTATAATTATATGATATCTACACCAGAACACACGTATAATTATATGATATCTATATCAGAACACACGTATAATTATATGATATCTACATCAGAACACACGTATAATTATATTATATCTATATCAGAACACACGTATAATTATATGATATCTACACCAGAACACGCGTATCGGATACGGCAAAAAAGCGGCTACGTATCGAAGAGATGAAGAAATTATGTCTGCGTGAGGGTGAGCACTATATATTCTGAACGTCGAGTGCTCAGGCATTCTCACATACCATGTATCGTTCTCATCCACTCCCGAATACCCCCACGGCCACTCTCACAGATTATGCACGCGCGCCAGTTGGCAATCGAAGTTCTCACAAGATATCGATGACAATTCTCATTCATTAGTCCGGCATAATAATGTATTAATTAACCCTTTCAGTACCCCGCACTGATATAGACCAGGTTGAGTCCTGTAGATATAATGTATTTTGTCAGCAAATCTAGGCTGGGCGACACACGATAATGACAAACTTGAAGTTAGTTTTGGTAAGACTGTTACGGCACTTGCAACACAATAAGGTCATATAAGTGTAGAAGATTAGAGGTGTTACAAGAGAGTAACAAACACACAAAAAAAGGAGGGGAGATAAAGACGATAGATGTTCGACAGGAAAGAAGAAGCAAATCACACCAATGGAGTTACTACTATGCAGTTGCGAGCGCCGTAAAACCTCTACAAAAACTAAAAACCCACACCAGAGCACCCGCCAACTACCCACCAGAACACACCAGTTCGCAATCGAAGTTCTCACAAGATATCGATGACAATTCTCATTCATAAGTCCCGCATAATAATGTGTTAATTAACCCTTTCAGTACCCGGCACTGGTATAGCAGCACATTTCTCCACACTGTCAGACCAGGTTGGGTACTTGTTTGTTTTGTTTGTATGAGTAAAGAGAAGTACATCGACACAATAATGGTCATTTAGTGCTGGGGAAAAGTAAGACAGTTTTGTGTTAGTAAGAGTTTTACGGCACTTACGGGGGTGAGGGCAGGATCAAATGGCGGAAACAACAGAGGAAGAGAAAAGAAGTAGGAGGATCGATCCCACCATTAACACCCTGCAGCCACCCGCTTGTGAGTCTTTGTGAAAAGAAGCGACACTATACCCCCCTCCCCCCCCACCCAAAAAAGGAAACAACCCAATAAACACCCCCCCAAACAAAATAAACCCAACAGCAACCTAAAACACAAACAAACAAACCAAACAAGAAAACAAAAACAACAAACAAACAAACAAATTAAAAAAACACCCCATCCAAAAAAACGCTAATAAAATTATTTTTTAAAAAATTACAAAATCCCCCAAACAAATCAAAACCCAAAACAAAACCCACAAATCCCAAACAATGAACGGTCGGGGTTTTCCCACACAAAGCTTCAAAGATGCACACAACAAACGTAAAAGGAGTTTGACTTGATCGATTATTGATGTTTGTTTTCAAAAACTCTTGCAGCATAGAGTCAGGAGCTTTTTCTAGGGGCGGGAGAGGAGGGGACAGGGGACGAGAGAGAAAG